GTATTAAAATAAAACATTATGTCCTTATGTCTGTTTGTTTCAGTGGTGGGTTACTCCCAGTTCGGCCGAACCAGCAGTAGTGGTGGTGGGAGGCCCCGTCCACCCGCCCAGACACTTCTGCGCATGCACAGATGTGTTGCATGCGCGTGTGGGTGCATGCCCGAACTGGTAGTAAAAATATTTGCAACCCACCATTGGTTTGCTTCTATGTCTTTTTAAACTTATGGAAGAATTACTACTAATAGGAGAACATTGAACTGTGCGGTCCTTGGGGCTCTCTGAGCTTGGTTGTTTTCTTGCAGATTTTTCATTATTAAACTAGGTAACATCCTCAGTGCCAGAATTTGCAAGAAAACAACCAAGCTCAGAGATCATCAAGACCCTACAGAGTTGCTACTGTTTGTGTAACATAAGACATTGGAACCTTAACTACATTCATTCAGTGTTTTAAAAGACATCTCTCCAAAGAACCTCTGATTATGTTCCAGTCCAGGATTATTAAAGAAAACGTCCCAGCTTATCTATTGCTTGGAGTGGTATCTCATATGTTAAGAATGAAATTCAAAGTCATCCAATTAGCTTTTGGGTCACGTAATAGAGCTTTTTCTTCTTTACCTTTATTTTATAGCCTTACTCTCAATTTCTCCATAAAATCTACTCGAGAGAGTTGGAAGATTCCCCCAGAGGAGAAATTGACGAGAATGGAAAGATTGAAAACAAGAGAAGTAATAATCTGTGCTCTCAATGGATGATCCATGATCAAAATACCTCAATAGATTTCGCCTTTGGTGCTATAAGGACATTGTGACAAAATCTTGTTGATTTTCCATTTGTTTAAGTTAAAGTATACCAGTGCTGAAATGAATGTGATCAGGAGTATGAAAACCTTATAAATAGTTGTCACAAGATCCTGATGGCTGGCAGCGTAAGAGAAACATTACCAACCACATTGTTTCTGAGTGTGACAGGTTATGAAATAATAAAAAATTCTTAAAGCTATAGTAGTGGTGATGAAACAGTTAAATCATAATTCATTTGATAATGAGGTGTACTCATAATATATTTAAACTCCATACACAATATGTTTTCCTAAAATGTTTTTCTGTATTATTGAATAGTTAATCCAGACAAATAAAAAATATCTTATCCCCTTGATTGAACTGGCAACAAACCACATTCCAGTTTTAATAATATGCTACAATTTTTTTCCATAGGATAAGAGGCATAGCTAGAAGGAAATGAATTTGTAACTAGATGGCTCCAATTTGGATACTGTATGAATGATCAATTTATAAAAAAAAATAGCAAGAGGCAAATTTTTCTGCATATCCATGCAGATAAAAGACAAGAAAAGTTTCATTCCTTGGCTAGTAAAGTTATTTGCATACAACAAAGCCTGAAATAGATCATTGAATTAAGTAATTATGTGCAATTAGTTTTATGCAATTTATAAAGCTCACAGTTCAAGACTAATAAATTTCTAACATGTGGCACATGTTTTAATATTATAACAGATCTGAAGTAGACAGCAACTCCTGCAGGGTGAAAAACTGCCTTTGAAATGAATTGAAGAGAGAATAAAGAGCAATGCAAACTGATCTATAGCCTAACATATTCAGAAACCTGCATTTCACTGCATAAGAGAAAAAGTTGATTATATCAGGTTTATGATGCACTTTTCAATCTAGAAATATCTGGCCTCATTTATTTGCAGGTTAGTTTCTTTCCTATGAGGTATTCTCTTTATTATCAAGCAACTATATGATTATAGCATGTGTATATATAGATATATCCATCTTTTAGATTTCAGCTTTATTACAGCAATGATTAGCAAAATGAAAAAAATAACCATAAGAAAAGTGATAGGTATGATTGACTTTAGCAGTTTTTAAACTGATAAATGTTTTAAGAAAACTAGAATCAAGGCCTGAATATTCTAAGCTATTATAATGAAACATATACAGTACTTGTACCTCAAATTGTATTAAAGTATCCATATTGTGAATTCTTGAAGTAATTTTTCCAAGTAGAAAGTTTTAATGAAAAACAAACCTACATTTAATCAAATCTTGTATCTGATTAAAAATAATGGCTGAATTTAATTTTAAGAAAGAGTTGCAAGGCATTAAGGTAAATTGTTCACCCCAAAGCGCTTGTAAAAACACCTTTATTTCTAGTATGGAAATCATGGGGGGGGGGGCTGTTTCAAGGCACTTGTGCAAAGGACTATGGACAGGTAGTCTGCCACTTCATTAGAATGTAGCCTACAGGCAAAATCCTAATTACAAGTCAAGAAAGATTGCTTGTTTATCAAACTCGCTTGATAATGAAAGGACAAAAGAGATGTGAGATAAACTGGGGAGACCCTTCAATAAACCAGATGTTGTGAATTATCAACTGGATTTCAAGAACCAGAAATTAGGTACCAATTTTGAATTTAAAGGCACCCAGCAGTTTGTAAAATTGTAGTCTCACAGTATATGTGTTCCACAGAGCACTTCAAACCCACGAAACAGTATAATCATATCTCCACAGAGCATGTATAACCCACAAAACAATATAATCATACCTAGAGGCCCTAAGGATTAACACAAATAAGTCAAATTGGAGCAAATGTACACAACTGTTGCAAAATAAATAGTTATCTCTTGCAACCAAGAAATGAAACAACAGCAATATTGCTTGATTGATATCTATAATAATACATAAGAGTTCCCTGATATACTCAAATGATTCCATGAAGAGAAAAACACAAGTATTAGGTCAAAAAACCATTAAAACTAGTGATAAATGGTAATAAAATTACAGCCCTTCATTTAGAGTTGGAAGCTACTGAAGAGTTCAAATAGGGCTGTTTTCCCACCTCACAGGAAGCTTTGCATAATAGACCTAATGTGAAAATAATAGTGTTGCAATGCTTTAATAACTATTTAACTAATTTCAGATTTATACACCCCAAAAAAATATTCCTGTTTAATTGGTCAGCAAAAACAAAAAACAAAAACACACACAAGAAAAACCAAAACAGCAATCCAATGCTGAGATACCTTCCCTATTACTGATGGCTAAAAATAGGATGTAGCAGAAGTGGTCCTTCTGAAAGGACATCATCAGTATTTTCCTTGCAAGCAGTGGCAGGCAGAAAGCTACCAGATGGAATTTTGTAGGCACTTCAAGGGAAGAGGATCAGCAGTTTTCCATGCAGGAGAAGTTCACTAATTTTTCACAACAAAAGTATGCAGGTGAAGAAAGAAAAATAAAGATGGAGGAAAAGCTTTTGTGTCTTCTATTAATAGCTTATATGGCTGACAGGGTCTGACTGATTGCTGGCTAAATGATTATTAATATATACATTTATAACAACTGCAGGTAGAAAAAAAGATAAACTCAGTCAATCAAGCTTCTTTAAATGAGAACCCTAATGATGCAGACAAAATGTTAATAGCAATAGCAATAGCAGTTAGACTTATATACCGCTTCATAGGGCTTTCAGCCCTCTCTAAGCAGTTTACAGAGTCAACATATTGCTCCCAACAATCCGGGTCCTCATTTTACCCATCTCGGAAGGATGGAAGGCTGAGTCAACCCTGAGCCAGTGAAATTTGAACAGCCGAACTGCAGAACTGCAGTCAGCTGAAATAGCGTTCAGTGCTGCATTTAACCACTGCGCTACCTCGGCTCTTTTTAATGGTAATGGTTAATGGTATAGAGGACTATGGTTTAACTAAAAATACATACTTTTCTTCATTCTTGTTGCTACATTTTATTTGTTAAAACATAAAGTGGTTTTCACATTGGGCAAGTTTCATCCTATGTTATCAAGAAATAAATGTCTGTCTGACTATCTTCTATATCTATTTGTCTGAAATGAGGCTTAATTTTCTTATAATTTTATGGATTTTTCTGCATTTCATTCAATTCATTCAAACACGAAAAGACTTCAGTACCTCCAGGGGATATTCAGTTCTGAAAACTTAAAGTCAAAAATATCTTTGTGATCTTTCAGGATTTCTTTTATATTGACTGAATTGATATTTGCCCCAGAGATGAATACTAAAATTCAAATTAACTGAGAACAGTTCTATATTTGAGGCTTGAATATAAAATCTTATTGTTTAAACACAAAGGAGGAAGTAGTAAAAATAGTTGTCCGTGTGATTTGATACAAAGGAATAACAGCAAGAGCAATTATGGTATCTCACAGAAAAGAAAGAACATTGGTATCATATGTAAAGATTCTGTTATATCTGATTCTTTGCTGTACATGCATTCCATACATTTTTGTTTACAGAGAATTTTACATTTGATAGTTCTTCATCTTTACAACAGACAGTATCAGAGGATCTAGAGCAGGGGTGTCAAACTTGATTTCATTGAGGGCCGCATCAGCGTTGTGTTTGAACTCGGGAGACAGGGTGGGGGTGGCCAGCTATACGTCACTCATGTCAGGTGCCTGTGGTGGCCCGAGAGCTCTGCCAGCGAAAATGGCCTGTTTCCAGGGTGGTCATGCGGGTCAGATCTAACAACCCATGGGCCGGATCCTGTCCCCAGACCTTGAGTTTGACACCTGATCTAAAAGGTCTGAGAACACACATATCATCTTTAACCTGCTCACTGCTCTTAACCAACAGAGGATCAATTATGGGTTTCCAATAATGTTTCTTTAGGAGAATTAAAAGGGCAGGATTAGGCAAGCAGAATGTTCCAGCTGTTCCAGAATGTTCTGTCACAAGGATGACAAATGGGGCTCTTTATCACTTTGATTGTTCCAGGAAAAGTGTGAAATGGCTTTGGCATTATTACCAAGAAAATTAGGTGTCCATGTCCATGAATACAGCTACCACACATGGGCTGCAAAACAGTCAACCAAAGAGGGCACAAAACAGAACACTTCTAGCTTGCTGCTGCCTTCTAATGGGTGTCCACATTTTTGCAGCTTAGATATGGTAGCCCAAGTATGCAGCCACTAGGAGTAAAGCTCACTTCAAAAAAGACTTTGCTTTTTTTTTTTTTTTGCAAATAAAAAAGGCATTTGTTTCCTAAATACTGAACATAACTAAAATAACAAATAGGCAGCAACTATATCAACACCACTTGAAAAAGGTTTTGTAAGAGAATCTCTCTAACTATATTAATAATAATAATAATTAAACATGGTCTCAGTGTTCTATACCCTGAAAGCCACAAAGCTGTATTTATCATATATCTATATTACTGACAAAAAGTAAAATTTAATGCAATGCTTTAAACTGTCAGTTCTTAAAGTGCCTTATTTTTAAATGGGACAAAAAAAAATACTGGTTGTATGTGGAAAAGTTCTTTTTAAAAAGCATCTATTTTTACATAGATTTTGGATGGTCTACAGCAACTATTATAGCAGGGTTGTTTTTTTTTAAAAAACAAAAACAAAATCCAGCACAGCAACCAAAAAGCGAAGTTTTATAAGAAATGGGGGAAAGCAATTTGTTTCCAAAGGTTTTCTGCAACCAATACTGTGCCACCTAAGGTCCCAAGGGTAATTCATTTAATCTCTGAAAGATATTTTACTGAGAATAAACCCCTTTGACTCTCTTCTAACTCTTTCAACCTGGCTGGGAAATAGCAGTATCTAATTAGACAAGTTCAACTTTGGCATTGGGATAAACAGCAACCACGTCGTATCCTTCTGGTGGTTTCACTCTTTCCTTGGCATGTGTCTCACAGTATAGTTGTTCCTCAATAAAGAAATAGCCCCTTTGTTTCAGATTGAGGCCACAGTCGTCACACATGAAACATTCTGGATGGTAGAGCTTGTCACGGGCTTTCACTATTGTGCCACTGTTAGAGTGAAAGAGAGAAGAGAAGGTAAGAAAGTTACATACTTAAAACCATTTCTGTTCCTTGCAGGTCAAATGAGTTATTACATAAGTCTAAATATCTGTGGAGATTCTCAACCATCCAAGTCATGGTTGTCCCAAAGGTGCTTTTTCAGGAGGCAGCTGGACTTTTCTTGTTTTTTCTTTTGCTTCTGATCTTCAAAAGAGAACATCTTCAAAAGAAAAAAAACAAGACAGTCCAGTTGCCTCCTGAAAAAGTACGTTTGGGACAACCATGACCGGGATGACTGAGAATATCTACAGACTTTTAGCTATACAATTTGGGATGAACACCCTTTGAATGGTGAGAGAATAGGAATGGATTTCCAGAGGGAGGGGGGAATTGCAGACTATAGGAACCATTTGCACTACTCAGGTGACCCTGAGGACACAGATAAATCTCCAAGTGCTTCAACAACCCTCTAAAACAGGGGTGTCAAACTTGTGGCCCGCAGGCCGGATGCTGGCTATGCCCATGCCAAGTTTAGTGAAGGGGGAGAAAGTCCCATTATGTCACATGACACAGTCGTGACAACTTAAGTTTGACACCCCTGCTCTAAAAGAATGCAAATTACCATCTGTCTGCAAGGAATACAAATCCTTCCATTCCTCACTATCCTGTCAGGGCTGAAGAAGCTTCTTGGATGAGAAGCAAAACATCTTCAGAAGAAAAAACAAGAAAACCTCCTGAAAAAGCATCCTTGGGACAAGCCTAAACAGTTCTATTTTACCTAAGCACATCTCTGTCTCCACAAGACAAAGTCTAACAGTTAAGAAGAAGTAATAGCCAGCCACCAACACCCCAATCTACACCTAAAAAACTACACACAACAGGCACCATATAAATATCACACACAGAACAGACCAAAGCACAGAGACGTTCTCTGAGGATGGGCTCCAGCACAAGTTCAAAAGCTTGGAAGACAAAACCTCTGGTACCGGTGACCAGCCCAGACTGGATCCCGCAAAGACTAAGAGCTTTGCTTCCACCGTTTGCAAAAGCTGAGGATGTGCAGCTGCTCCTTAATTCCATATTTCTGAGCCGATCGGATTCCAATGAAATCAGGGAATCCTTTTTTGCATGGAGTTCCATACAAATTTTGGAACAACCCGGGTACTTTGGATCAAGAGACCAACATCCGTCAATGTTAAAGCTGTAATACATATTTAATTAACCTTCCTGTGAAAGAAGAAGTCCAGATGCCATCCTGCTCTTATAATCCCAACCATAACGTGGTTTTATGGCCCATACATTACAACGAGAGTTTAAAATGAAACAGATGGCACTTTTATTTGCTAGCTTTCCCAAACAGGATATAAACTATTAAGGCTCCTGGGGAGATTAGTGTACTTACACAATGCCATTACCACATCTGGTACACTCAGGGAGCACCTGCAAGCCAGACATGGCTCCACCCAATTTGGGGACTGGAGATTTAATGTGTCTCGGACTGGTCACTTTGTCGTACTTTTCACCTGTCAACAAGGTAAGATAAAATTTCAGTATTATTGATTTAAGGCATGTGGAATGTCCCAGATACGCAAATGTCTTTGTTTAAATACAGGTAAGTCCTCGAGTTTCAACAGCTCCCTTAGTGACCATTCAAAGTTACAACGGAACTGAAAAAAGTGACATGACTATTTTTCACACGACTGCTGCTGCTTAGTCACATGATCAAAATTCAGCTGCTTAGCATCTGGTTCATATTTATGATAGTCGCAGTGTCCTGGGGTCATATGATCATCTTTTCCGGCCTTCTGACAAGCAAAGTCAATGGGAAATACACATTCACTTAACAACCATTACTAACTTAACAAATGCAATGATTCATTTAACAACTGTGGCAAGAAAAGTCGTAAAATGGGGCAAACTCCCTTCAAAAATGTTTTTGTTAAATTTTGGGTTCAGTTGTGCTCGTAACTCAAGAACTACCTATAATTTCTTCCTGAATTCAAAAATAAGGGGGTGGTTTTAAAATACACAACATTCCTTTCTTTATCACCAGAATGATAGGAACATCCTAAGGCTGCATTCACGGACAGCAGAACATCCTTTAGAAATCAATGGGATTTTTTTCCCCCTGACCTAATATGGGGCTATATGTCAGATGATGTAAAGATTATGGAACAGGGGACCAGCATTAACCTTAAGGTATTTATTTAAAAATGGTAGCATGACTATAAGAATAAGAAAGCAAGATAACATGGGAATCGCATACTGAAGTTCTGTTTTGCTAGATAAAAACCAAACATTAAAAAAAATGGGGGAAATGGTGTGAGAGATATTTAAAAAGTAACAAAGGAAAGCTGGTACAAAAAAGCTGTATAGAGGAAACACAGAAGACAGATGATGTTGCCTAATTTAGAAAATGTTTTGACTTTATGGATTTGGAGGGGGGGGAATGTGATCTCGTGATATGTAAAGGAAATCACACAAGGCAATAGCACTGCTAAAGTGCACTTTTATAGCATGCCAGATTTATTTATTTTACTGTATGTCAGGACTCAGAGAGACCTTTAAAAGCTTATAATAAAAGCAAGATAGCATGTTAGAAACTGGCTCTTTTTAAGGGTTATATTATAAAAAAAACCTATGTAGTTTGAACTAACCAGAAAAAGAGGGAACTCAAGAAATCTTTATATAAAGATTCCCCTCGCACATATGTGCTAGTCATTCCTGACTTTAGGGGGCAGTGCTCATCTCTGTTTCTAAGCTGAAGAGCTAGCACTGTCCAAAGACATCTCCATGGTCATGTGGCCGGCATGACTAAACGCGAAGGTGCATGGAACACTGTTACCTTCCCACCAATGGTGGTCCCTATTTTTCTACTTGCATTTTTAATGTGCTATCGAACTGCTAGGTTGGCAGAAACTGGGACAAGTAATGGGAGCTCACTCCATTATGCGGTGCTAGGGATTCGAACCATCGAACTGCCGACCTTTCTGATCGACAAGCTCAGTGTCTTAGCGACTGAGCCACTGCGTTCCGAGAAATCTTTATATGAAAGATTATATACATGTAGTACTTTTGAATATACAGATATGCAGATACCAATGTCCACATTCTGACTGCTCTGGTTTTTAAACAGCCTATGTATGCTTTGAGACTTTGCTTGCTAACACTTATGTCAGTGTCCCCTTTCCCTATTCTTTTTAATCGCATACTTGGGGGAGGGGGGTGTTTCCTGATTTTTTTTTCTTTTTCTTCTCCACTCACATCAATACTAAAATACAATATCTGCAATTAGAAGTGGAACAACTGTGGCAAAAGAAAGCAAAGCTAATACCAATCATAATATGCACCTTGGGACACAATCCAAAAACTACTGGAGCACCAGAACTGTTGGCATTGATAAAAATCACAGTCAGTCAATTGCAAAAGGCAGCTTAACTTGGAACAGCTTATATTAATAAACTTGGATTGATTATATTATTAAGAGGAGGTAGGTATATTGGATATATGTTTGCCATCTGGAGTTCTTTGTAAGAATAATAAAGGCAAAATACAAATAAATAGATAAAATATCCTGCGATGATACCTTTAGCACCATCAAACATCTGCCTATTCCAGGTCCTTGGGAAGGACTCAATAGGTGGATTGAAAATGCTAAATCCAGCCCAAAAATCTGGCTGACTGTGTGACCAACCATCATGATCAAGAATTATTGCGCCTATGGTTTCTAAGACCGGAATGTACTTTAAAGTATGCATTAAAAAAGGAACGTTTGTGCTCCTTACCATTCTCTCCAGCTTCCAACATGCCTTGCAGATACCGGAAAGATCCTGACTGCTTAGGTTCTGAAACGGGCCTTTCATGATCTTGTAGCATTTTGTACACATCCGAGTCTGTGTCGATTCCATTTTTGTTCCTCGCGAGAGACCTTAGAGGATCAGCACTATTTGAATAGAAAATGAAGGTCAACCAATTGATGCCAACTGAAGGGGTACCAACCTAAAGTCCATTAAAGAAATTAAGGAGTTTCACAATGTTTTCTAGAACTGTTTCATCAACTCATGAGCTTAATAAGTGAAACTTTTGGCAAACAAATCCCATGTTTACTAATGAGGATTCAACCATTTGTTTCTGCTTTCTTGTTTCTGGAGTGATGGTTGGTCATGTACATGTGCAATTTATTATATGCAAAGAATTGCCAATGAAGGAGCCCTTGGGTTCATTCTACTGGCTACTGAACCATATATTTAAGACTAACCAGTAAGTGCAAGACAGCTGCTGCAATTCATTGAATTACTGTGTTACACATGGATCATATTTTTTTTTTAAATGCATTAAATTAAATTAAATTAAATTAAATTACTGAAGGAATTGGAAGTCCTCCCACCACTAAATAATATTTGGCACTGGAGGTTGCTTGTTTTTTTGTTATTGCCAAATGTTGTCTTGGGGATACTACTTAAAGAAAAGAAATTTCACCTTTTATAAATTTTATTCCTTGTGAATTGGGTTGCATTTCATCTATAATACGTTTGAAAAAAATGTTTGATGTAATGTTTGATGTAAATGGAAAACATATATGGCTAAGAAGTCAAAATTAATGGTCACTCATACCATCACACTGGGTTCCTTAGGGAGATCTATTTTGCCACACATAAATTTTGGAAGAGGGGGGATGAAATAGAAAAAGCTCATTTCTGTTCAACCTTATTTAAATGCTGCATTCTGACACCTTACATGTTATCACAACCCCTGGAGAGATGCAACAGTGTGCTGGACTACATAAAGTCCCTGAAAAACGTGGACTGAGTTTGGAAATGACCCGCAAGGTTGGTTACTCTTGAAACTGCTGGATCATTTTGCCACCATTTTAGCCCAAATGGCTGAAATTCCTCTGAACTTTTTTCATCTGTTTTTCCTATTGATTTCACCTTTATCATCCCAAATGGATTTCCTATTCCTTGTTTATTTGCATCTGGAATCAGTAGAAATTATGGATTCAAATTTGATAGATTTTAAACATCTAAAATATTTCTTTAAACAAACTGCCTTCCATTTTAGTATTATTCTATTCATGATAATAAAGGATACAGCCGTGATTTGTTATTTTTCAAATGATCCGTGTTTATAAAATCCACTAAGACATTATTTAAATGCAGTCCACAGTAATGTCTTCAGATGATAGAAATTATGCTTTCAGAAGAATGTATATTTAACACCAAAGTATGTTTGTACTTGGAAAATGCAGCATCTTAACTTAATATATGGCCAACTTCTATTCTTTTGCATTTTTCTTAGACATACAATATACCACACAGGTCATTTGATGTGTTGTGTGGTTAATTCTGGCTAATGGCCCAAGGATGCTACTGCAGTATAAACCCAGTTTTTCTGAATTTAACCTAGTAGCCCAGACCAGTTTAAATCTCAGGCCTAAATATTCATGTATTACAAAAATGTATTATCACCCTATTTTTAACAATTTCCTTATGCCTATTTAAAACTATTATTTATAGCACTGCACATATAATTTAAAGAGATAGTGTGGTGTGGTAGTTAAGGCACCAGGCTAGAACCCTAGAGACTGAGTTCTTAAGCACAAAGCTAGCTGAGTGATCTTGAGCCAGCCATTTTTTTCTTAGCCCTAGAAGGAAGGTAATGGCATACCACTTCTGAAAAAAAAAAAAACTTCCCAAGCAAACTTCAGAGGCTTGTCCAGGTAGTTTGTGAGAATTGGCACAATTGAATAGAAGGGGGGGGGGGTTTCTGGTGCCCAGGTAGTGTAGTTTGACTTTTAGTAAATAATTGAAGAGTCAGCTGATTCATAAAATGGTGGGAAAATAGTGCTAAAATGATTTTTCTCAAGTGTTTAAATCCATTTTAGGTGGAGTGGGGGATGCTCTTTGAACAGAAGCATATAGTCATTTTAGTGTGTGTGAAAGAATGAATCTTTTGGAAAAAATGGTGCACACACCACCACCACCACGCTTACCTTTTCATGCTGGGTGTAACCATGTCTGGACTAAAATATCCATTAAATGACCATTAAATGGATGTGAAAATTGAGAGCTTTCTGTTTCTCTCTACTGTCCTCTAGCAATTGCCTGCATTTTTTGCAGCACGGATGCAGTAGGCCTATTTCATTAATAAATTCAGGCATTTCTAAAAGAAATTCAATTGATATGCACTTTTTACTCCATACCTTTGGGGAGGTGTGATATTGAGACTGCTCATCTGTGAGGGTAAACTAGAATCTGGACTGTTATTTGCATACAGACGTGAAGGATGATTGTACTGCAAATTTAAGGTCTGCTTGCTGTCTGTTGGACTTCCTCCAGGTGAAAAGGCCATGGGTCTCCTGTTTGGAACAGGTCCGTTATCCTAAACAAAAGAAGAAATCATGATAAGTTGCCCTTGTCCATAATAAACTACCACTTTCAGTAAATGGAGACCCATTAAGTGGTCCACCAACTGCAAACAATATATATTTAATAGTAACAGAGCATGTAAATTGGGGAATAAAGAATCAGCAAAGAGGATCTGTTTGAAGAAAAATTCACATGTGTAAGACACCTGGTGGTACAATGCCTGTGTTTTAACTTGTGTTGTATCTAAGTTAATTGAAATGCATATTCAAGTTAGATCTAGCTGTGAGGAAATGTTTTGATCCAAGACAAATAAGAGATAAATGTACGGATGAGCAGATGTAAACATGCCAGTTTAATGTCTGTAAAAACAACAGTGTTATTGTTTTTTAAGCTCTGTAATCTATTAATGTGAAGTCGAGGGGAACTTGACTAAGAAACAGGCCTTCTACATTATAATCTAACATTGAAATACAATTAATTCACACTCCTTCTCAGTCAGGAAGACTTTTAAAACTACGTCTTTAAACTGCTGTTTGGATCTTAGAATGATTGCCTGTATCTATTTGTTATTATATAGTAAAATGCATCAAATATTTTATTATTTTAACAGTTCTTTTGTTTTTAAAAAAATGTTCTTGTACCTAATCCAAAATCTGTGAGATTGGGACTTTAAAAAAAAAACTGCTGTAAAGTGAAATAAAACAGTAACCATCAAGATAAAAGAATACAACAAAAAATGGGGCCAAGGAAAGAATGCACAGTGCTACAGTCATTTGGAGTTTTATTTTTAGAACAAACATGTACGAGTTTGGTTTTACAAAACAGAATGTCTAGTCATTTGTTTAAATATGCAATCAACAGTGGCTGGCATTAAAAGATGTTGCCTACCCAGCATTAAAAGATGTTGCCTACCCAGAGTTCTCTTTTGCTACCTGTTCTCATAACCATGCTAGCCATGAATGCAAAAGGAATAATGCAAAGAAGCAGAAGCCATTATCCACCTTGCCCATTACCCTGGAAAGTGCTAGAAATTGAACCTAGGAAGAAATTCCCAGTGGAAATAATTGCAGTGAAATTAATCCTACTTGGAGAAATAGAGAAATGAGCAAGAAAAACAGCAGTGAACTGGACAGGATGCTTTCTACTGGAAGAAGTAGATTAAAGAACTGTAAGCAGTTTATATAAGTCAGCTGTTGGAAATAAACTGAATATATTATTCTTTAACTAAAGGTCCCAGGCAACTTAATAAAGCACAAACAACAACAACAAGTAGATGATACTGTAAATAAAATGCAATTCATACAAACCAGGAATCTATGAATTCCAGTCCTGTCTTAAGCATCAAAGCTAAGTAACCTTGGGCCACTCACTCTTCCATACCCCAACTTATCCCGTAGGGTTGTTGTTGTGGGAAAAATGGAGGAGGAAAGAGTATTAAATATGTTGGCCCTCTTGAGTTATTTGTAAAAATAATAAAGTTGGGGTTAAAAATCTATCTATCTATCTATCTATCTATCTATCTATCTATCTATCTATCTATCATCTATCTATCTATCTATCTATCTATCATCTATCTATCATCTATCTATTTATCTATCATCTCTCACTTCATAAATCTGTTAATATTTATTTGCTAAGTCCATGTTATAACTTCGCACACATTCCTCAACTGAGTTTTCCATCCCTCTTTAATATAAAGTGAAAAAGGGTAGAAAAGAATCATTGATATCTCTCTCTGAATCCTAACAATAGCCCTCACTTTTATTCTTAAAATGTAACTAATTTTTGTTTTAAATTACCTGCAATTCACATAGACTTCTATAAGCCTTCCCTACAAAAAAAATGAAGTCTAAACCTGCACTGAATTATTCTTCCAGCAGTAATAATTTGGTCATGAGCATTTTGAAAATTATTCAGAAAAAGTGCCCTGGATATTGCACAAGGATAATACTTTTTCTGATATTTCTGATATTTTATTAAGACAATAGCTGCTTTTTAAAAATCTTCTTGAGAAAAAGGGTGGTACTGATTTAAAAATCAGAATGACCTTTGAAAGTGCTAATGACCAAATTTAAGCAATTTTGAAGAGCAGCAGAAAGTAGTTACACTCATGTGGAGGCAAAAGCCCAGTCACACAATAATTACAATCTCCATGCTCAGAGACTGCAATTTTATGATACTGTATGTTTAAGCAGTGCAAAGATTTTTCTAAAATTTTCTGCAAATACTTTGTTTTACAGTTTTTCAAATATTTACCTATAAGTGAACGCTACTCTTAAAATTAGCTGGCTTTTCTTTTCCATAAAAAGGATTTCTCTAGAACATGTGTTTGTGCTAGAATGTTTAGACTTGCAAGCCCTTATTAACTATGGATTCCTTACTTCCCATTCATTTCTTCCTGACTTCTGGGAATGGATGCTGATTATGACAGTAAATGGCATCAAGCCAGCGTGCCTTTCCAATCCCTCAGCTGATGCCCGACTATTCCTCTCCACTGCCTAACTCTTGTACAGGAAAAGGAACTAGGAGGGAACAAATAGTCTACATAATCAGGAACACAGCCAGATATTTCTGGTAACTCCTTGTACCTAGAAAAGGCTTCTGTGGACCTGTCACTCAGGCAGTTTTATTGAAATAGATTGGACAATAGTTTGTTCTTTCCCGTTAAAGAGAAAGCAGAGATGGGACAATCAAATACCAAATCAGCTCTGTTTCTGGAAGCATGGTCTGCTTCTTATGGAGGAGGAAAGAGGCACTACAATTCTCTTCAGATGGCTGGAATAATAATAAGAAGAAGAACAAAGGCTTACAAAGTCAGAATCGGGTAGACAGCAACAAATACCAAATTCCACTCTGCAAAGAAGCTGAAGAAATAGTGGACCACCTAGTTAGTGGCTTGCCAGAAGAGTGCACAGATGGACTACAAACAATAGCATATCAAAATTGCAACAAGGGTGCATTGAAATATCTGCAACAAATAACATTTGCCTTCAAGCAACAATCACAGAATAGAGAAACTCATAGAGAGTGAAGAAGCTAAAGTGCTCTTGGATTCTACAATTCAAACAGACAATCACCTGACGTACAACACTCCACATTTAACAATTCGTGAGAACCAAAAAAAAAAAAGTCTGCATAGTAGATATGTCAGTGCCTGGAGACAGCAGAAGAGAAAAGAAAGAACCAGAGAAAAACCACAAAATATAAAGATCCACAAATAGAAATAAAATAACTATGACAAAATAAAAAAAAGATACTACCAATTATAATACAGTTGCAAGAAAAAGTATGTGAACCCCTTGGGATTACGTGGAGTTTTGCATGAATTGGTCATAAAATGTGCTCTGAACTTCATCTAAGTCACAACAATAGAAAAACACAGCCTGCTGAAAATAATACTACATTAGATGTTGCCATGGTTTAATTGCACATAACATGTAAACATTCACAGTGCAGGGAGGAAAAAGTATGTGAACCGTTGGACTTAATAACTGGTTCACCCTCCTTTGGCAGCAATAACCTCAACCAAACATTTCCTGTAGTTGCAGATCAGACCTGCACAACGATCTGGAGTAATTTTGGACCACTCCTCTTCACAAAACTGTTTCAGTGTAGCAATATTCTTGGGATGTCTGGTGTGAATCTCTCTCTTAAGGTCATGCCACAGCATTTCAATCAGATTGAGGTCAGGACTCTGACTGGGCCACTCCAGAGGGTGTATTCTGTGCTGTTGAAGCCATTGTTGTGTTGACTTACTTGTATGCTTTGGGTCATTGTCTTGTTGCATCACCCATCCTCTGTGGAGCTTCAGTTGGCGGACAGATGGTCGTACGTTTTCCTGCAAAATGTCTTGATAAACTCTGGAATTCATTTTCCCATCAATGACAACAATCCGTCCAGGCCCTGAGGCAGCAAAGCAGCCCCAAACCATGATGCTCCCTCCGCCATGTTTTACAGTGGGGATGAAGTTTTGATGTTGGTGTGCTGTGCCTTTTTTTCTCCACACATAGTGTTGTGTGTTTTTCCCAACAACTCAATTTTGGTTTCATCTGTCCACAGTAAATTTTGCCAGTAGTGCTGTGGAACATCCAGGTGCTCTTTTGCAAACTTCAAATGTGCTGCAATTTTTTTTTGGGACAGCAATGACTTCCTCCGTGGTGTCCTCCCATGTATTCCATTCTTGTTTAATGTTTTCCTTATTGTAGATGTGTCAACAAAAATGTTAGCATGTGCCAGAGATTTCTGTAGGTTTTTAGCTGACACTCTAGGATTCTTCTTTACCTCATGAAGCATTCTGTGCTGTGCTTTTGCAGTCATTTTTACAGGACGACCATACCTAGGGAGAGTAGCAACAGTGATAAACTTTCTCCATTTGTAGATAGTCTGTCTTACCGTGGACACATGAACATCAAGGCTTTTGGAGATACTTTTGTAACCCTTTCCAGCTTCATGAAAGTTAACAATTCTTGATCGTAGGTCTTCTGAGAGCTCTTTTCTGCGAGGCATGGTTCACATCAGACAGTGCTTCTTGAATCCAGTAAACCCAAAACAGGTGTGTGTTTTTAAAGGGCAGAACAGCCGTCACCAACACATCCAATATCATCACACTGATTGGAGTCACGGTTGGCTCACTCCTGGCTCCAATTAGCTCTTGGAGACGTCATTAGGCTAGGGGCTCACATACTTTTTCCTCCCTGCACTGTGAATGTTTACATGTTATGTGACATTAAACCATGGCAACATCTAATTTTTGTGTAGTATTATTTTCAGCAGACTGTGTTTTTCTATTGTTGTGACTTAGCTGAAGTTCAGAGCACATTTTATGACCAATTCATGCAAAACTCCACGTAATCCCAAGGGGTTCACATACTTTTTCTTGCAACTGTAGGCTTCTTGGGTGCAATCATTGGCATCGACAAAATTACCACCAGTCAATTGCAAGAGGCACCTTTGGAATACTATATACCCTGTGATGTAGCATCAAATAAAAGCATCTGTCCAGTGGTGGGACTC